TATTGAATATTATGTTGAAGTTACAGTAGTAGTTATCAAAGATATGGAACACAGATTATTAGTTATTGCTTCGTACACACAGTCTTTAGGGCAAATCATAGAAATAATTTGATTAAGCATTGCTGAAAAAATACGTAAATTTTTTCATTTCTCTCTTGTATGTTGCGCATTTAAAATTTTTGGCATGTCGGTTGATGAATTTTCTGATATTAAGTTTACGTTTAAACTGATATGCATTTTTTCTGTATTACTTAAGTTATTTCATAATTTTAGAGTAGAGATAACGGTTTACATCAGGGAATGTCAACAATTCTATTTTAAGCTTGATCAACTGTAAACACCATTAAAAATATTATGCGGAAAGGTATAACGCTTTTGTTTATAACTTCCCTGTGGTAAACTGGTAAACAAGATATATCCGTTGTTCCCTCTTATTGACGTTTTCTTTTTATTAATTTTGCGTACGCCAAAGAACTCGATAAATTAATCATCAAATAACGTTATTTTGAATTTTATTTACGTTTAATCATCAATATACATAATTGTTGCTGTTGATAACAGTAATAATTTCGCACTGATTTATTTATGTGAACTGGATTTAGTGTTCAATAAAATCATTAATATCAGCAATAAATTATAATTTATTGATGTTAAATGTTAAAAAAAAACTTAGTTTTGCCGGTTTCAGAACGTTTATTCGAATAAATGCGTTAGCGCCTTAACATGACGTTATAAATATGTAAAATATAGGAGTATTAATCGATACCATCCATATTTAGTTACCGTCAGGGGCGGCCTTAACCATTGCGAGGCCCCGGGCGGCAGATCTTTGTTCTTTGTCAAATGTACGTAAATCGAATGTACGAATAGATATTTCTGATGATTTAAGAGAAATGCAAAAGTTATAAATTTAGAGTTTTCAAATATTAAGTGATTTTTAAAAATTAACAAATACAAAGACGACAAATTTTTCATAATGATAAAATTAGGTACAAGATTCAAACATTTTTACAAGCTTTTATTTAACTTGCCTTGTTAGTACGAGTCAAATTGCAATTGGATTTTAAAACAGTTATCCCCAAACGATTGAGCTGAAATTTTGCATACACGTTTAGTTTGGATGACAATGCATGGTTAGCTAAGTGACGTCACACTAAATCCAATATGGCGGACTCCCAAAGATGGCGGACCAGTAATTTTGTATACACCCCTATGGGGTATGGGTATCAAATGTATAGGTTTGCTGAAAAGAATACGAAAATAAAATGACGTCACTAAAAGCTTGTTTTTAAAAAATATATATCTACATGGACTTATTCAGTTATGTTTTACAGTCAAATTATAAAAAATATTATCCACTGATAAATTNTATAGGAGTATTAATCGATACCATCCATATTTAGTTACCGTCAGGGGCGGCCTTAACCATTGCGAGGCCCCGGGCGGCAGATCTTTGTTCTTTGTGAAATGAACGTAAATCGAATGTACGAGTAGATATTTCCGATGATTTAAGAGAAATGCAAAAGTTATAAATTTTGAGTTCAAATATTAAAGATTTTTAAAAGTTAACAAATACAAAGACAACTAATAATAACAAAATAAGGTCCAAGATTCAAACATATTTTTATAAGCATTTATTTAACTTGCCTTGTTAGTACGGGTCAAATCTTGCAATTGAATTTTAAAACAGTTATCCCCAAATTTTGCATACACGTTTAGTTTGGATGACAATGCATGGTTAGCTAAGTGACGTCACTCTAAATCCAATATGGCGAACTACCAAAGATGGCGGATCAGTTATTTTTTATGCATCCCTATGGGGATATGGGTATCAAATGTAAGGGTTTGCTGAGAAGAATACGAAAATAAAGTGACGTCACTAATAGCTTGTTTTTTTAAATATACATGGACTTATTCAATTATGTCTAATCTCCCTATGTCTATAAAAAATTTTGTCCACCGATAAATTAATTGATTTTGTATCGATTATTAAATAAATCTAAATGCGAAATATTATTTAGGCACCTATTACTAGGTACTTATTAAGTATTAATATATTTACTATAAATTAACAAACTTTATTTTTTATCATGTAAGGATAAAATACAGTTTTAAATATAAACATTTTTTACTCGGCTTGTTGCGCGAGACCCCTGCAAGAGCGAGGCTCCGGGCGATTGCCATGCTCGCCGCCCCCTAAGGCCGCCTCTGGTTACCGTTTATAAAATCTGTTATGTATATTGGCATGCGTTTTATGTCGACTTCGAAAAATGGAAAATATGTCAAAGGTACCTACGTTCGTAAATTATAAATGCTGTGTTTAAATTCAGGTTTGTTAATTCATTGAGCGTATGAGCAAATAGTTTATTTTACTATAGAACTATAATAACATAAAATATTTTTAATGTAATATTGTTCCTAACACATACGAGGTCTGTTCAGGAAAATAAACGAACATTATTTTTTAAACTTTATACGTTAATTTTATACGTTATTGGTCCTTTTCTGCGTCAAAGTACTCATCTCCTCTATTTACACACTTTTCCCAGTGGTATTTCCATTTCGTGAAGCAGTGGATAACTTCATTTGAAATGGCAAAGCTGAGAGTGTGGGCACTCTGGTCTCTTTTTGCGGATTTTTTTCACTGTCCACGATTCACTGTTTCACCTTGGGCCAAGAATTCAAAATGTACAATTCCGTTAAAGTCGAAAAAACACTGACGTGCTTTCTTGGGGCGTGGCGATCCTTTGCCAATGCATTGTGATGATTTAACTTTTGTCTCAATATCGTATCCGTCAACCTAGCTTTCATCTCCCTTTATGATCCTTTGAATGGATACTTCATCGTCATCGGATTGTTCAGGGAGTTGCCGACAAACGTCCACACGATTTTCTTTCTGTCGTTCGGTCATCAAACGAGGAACAAATGTTGCTGCAACTCAATGCATGTTCAATTTGTCTGTCAAAATTTCATGTCATAACCCAATTGACATGCTATAATCTCTTCTGCAATTTCTCTGACAGTCAATTGGTGATTTGCACGCACCAGATCTTTGATTTTCTGAACGTGGTAGTCATCAGTTCAAGTCGAAGGCCTCCTGGTCAAGGATCATCTTCAATTAACTGATGACCACTTTCAAATCGTGAAAACCATTCGTAACATTGCGTATGACCCAGAGCATCTAAACTAAACTAAACTAAAAGTTTTCCTCAGTTTCACGCAAAATTTTACGTTGCATCGTTGTTCAAAAATCATCACTAACACTTGAACACATTGCACTCAAATAACAATATCACAAAAACTAAATCATCAATCCAAGAACATCTGGTTACAGAGGAGGTTATGCTCAACGCAATGCTACCAACTGCATATCACTAAATATCTTCATTAGCGCGTAATTCAAAAAGTTCGGTTGTTTTCTGAACATACCTCGTACATTGGCGTAATATATAACTTTTCTCAGTTGATCAAAATATGTATAGTTACCAATACCAGAAGAGTGACATTGTCTTCGATGATGATGGAATTATTAAAAATGGGATTGAAAGACTTAAATAGAGTAGGATCTTTTGCTTTACATAGACGGTAGATAAAAATCGTGCATTTTTTACGGATGATTCAAGTTGAACCAATCGAAAAATACACGTGCCTTCAGCTCAGTGAAAATTTGTAAAAACACTCATATTTCCTTATTGTATAAATAACTAGCATTGAAAGCGATGTAATTTTGGTTACTTGAACTTTACTTTCAAATTATTGGCACAAATCCAGGGTCATTTGCATAAAACAGTGGAAAAACAGTGAAAAAATTGGCGCATTACTTAATATACGAAAGAACGAATAGATAGTTCAGGGTTTAAGCAGTGGCGGATCTAAAGGTTGGGATGAAATTCTATTAGGTTAACAATTTTCTTAAGAGGATTAATTAATTATTTAAGAATATTTTTTTACGTTTTCTGACTCCACGGTTAAAAATAGAATACAATAGAAGATCGCTTCTGGATTTTTTTAATATTGAATTATTTATTTCTTATAATTTCAGTCAGTACATACTTATAAACTACATTATAATGTTTTCAATTTACGAATAGTTCAATAATTATGTATCAGCAATGTTTTATAACGCCTTCAGAAATTTCAAGGCAAGCTAATCTTCTGAAATATCTCCGTCATTGTGCACTGTCTGTCAAATTTTGAATTAGATGTGTCTCCTGTTTATATAGCAGCTGTTCATTGTATTTGAAATTGTTCCAATACATTTATTACTTTATAGTGACAGTATAGATTTTGTACAATGATTACAAAGTTGCTGTAAAGAATGTTAGTAACTTATGAAAATTTGTAATAACTGTATGCAAATGACTACACAGTGCAGAACAAATTTATTTTTAAGATTCTCTTTCATTTTAGAAATCCATTTTATTTTTATAAAGTTCATTTAAAATAACATTATGTTAAAAGACGAAAATATCACTTAAAGAACAACAAATCAGCAGTTTTACATTTAGCTAAGTTAATATTTTATAAAGCTTTTCCTCAAGTTGGTTTATTAGTTAAACGTAAGTCATATAAATGTGCTTTTAAGTTATTACAAACTATCATCATTGATTTATTGCACTTAAAATTTTTATATCAAATTGCCAATGTTTATAAATATGGTTTTAAAGCTATATCTTTACTAAACAATTGCATTTATATTTATCTCCTTTTGCCATTTTTTAAGTAGGTACTACTATAGGTATATTAAAGGCAATATATCGTCATTATTTTCATATAACATTATTCTTACAACATATCATGGGGATATAAAATGTTCAATTTATTTGTTTCACAAATGTATATAGTTACATATTCATCGTTCTGTAAAGACAGATTTAGATTGGAGTATATTTTAAGTAGCATATCAATGAATTATTAATTAAATTAGTTAAATTATGCCAATTACTTATTTTTTTACAAACCAGTTTTTCGATATTTATATTTATTGTTTTTTTTTTCAGAAAACAGGCGAAAAATGAAGAGTGGTAGTGCAGAAGATTCAATTTATAAGGATGTGGTAGTAATTGGTAAGTCAACAATTGCTGCTTAAAGTTAGACTGCAAACTTCAAATAGTAGGATTTTTTTATTCAGGTTGCATGGAGTATGTTCGGAATGAATTTAACTTATTGCGTCCTTTTCTTTACATGAATCACTATTTTTTTTGTATAAAATATTACGCAGTAGAATTGTGTGTGATGTAACATTTTTGTAAATTGCGTATTAAATATAAGCACCTTCAGTTTTATTATAGATTAAACGCGCTGATAAATTTTATAAAAAAAAACTATTTTGCGTCGTTTTTAAAAGCTGATAAAAACTATTTTATTTGATAAGTACCCATCGTTATTTAAGTAAACAGTGCCGCTACTTTATTAATTCACGTTTTACATGTTTGGAAAATTTATTATTTGCATTTTATTTAAAATATTTTATTTGTCGGAAGTATAGTAACATCTTCAAATATAAAATATCTTCAACAAATAACTATTTGCATAAATTATTGATGACGGGAAAGTTACAAGAATTGAATAGAACGAAAAATGGAACAGGCAGCGATTGAGCTTTATTTTCTGTTAATGCCACTCAGTTAAGAAATAGAAAAAGTTGCTTTCTCTAAAGTTGGAAGCATATGCGGCCAGAATCGAGTCAATCTTTGTTGAATAGGGAACAAATTATGACGTAGCAACTATTATTGTCCGATCCTACATCCAGTACATCGTTTTTAAAGGTAATTTTATTCGTTACAAATATATACATACGTATATATACAGGGTGTTTCATAATGATGTGGAAATATTTTAAGGATGTGTTTAAAAAGTAATTTTTGGAGGGGTACTTCCAATATATTTTTTTTATTTGAGCCGCCCCTGAGAAAATATTCAAATCTCAAAATGGCCGAAAAAATTAGATTTTATTTTTTTTTTCACGAAGAAATACGTGAATGAGTAAGTGGAAACCTTTTTTGAAATTATATCAAAATCTGGATGGATTAGATAAATCACGTACTTGTGTTTTATTATTTTTTTTTTGACCAACCTTTAGCACTTACTATTTGTGTTTATAAATTATGTTATTTACAATAACCCCAGTCCACTTGAAAAATTTTAGTTCGTTTTTGATCATTTTAAAAATATTTTCTTTAAATTTTTTCTGCTTAAAGCCATAAGCTAGAACCAATTTCAGTTGAAAAGAAATGAGCACTAAATCACCTATTTTTTTGTTTACAGGGAATGGGCCCAGTGGAATCATGCTATCATATATGCTGTCTGGAAACCTACCTTATATAATATCGGATGCCCATCCAGACGAAATGCTATCTGCCAGGCTTAAACCTATCGTCGGAGAATGTTTACTTCAGCAGGACCTGGAATATCTTTCGGCAGGCTTAGAGGGCAGATCAACAAACCAAATTTCTCTACTGATGGATGCCTTGTTGCATCCTTGCGCCGATATTGGGTTGGAGATGGAACCGCTTGTCGAGTTTAGGAAAACTGGCATTGAGGTATTAAAAATTCTTTATTTTCTAACAAATTTTGAACTATTAAAAAAAAGTTTTTTAAATTTTCTTTCTTTCTGCTTGTTGTTTCTTTTTATGTTTTTATATTTATTAAATTAATTCATTACATTATTTGTACGTAACTCATGTATTAAGTATTTTATCAATAAATTCTTGATAACAATAAATTATCTAATGTTTTATCACTTGTATAATTAATTAAATATAAAATTACCATTATTGCGAAATGTTTTTGGCAAAGGAATGAGTAACTACGAAATAGAATTTGAAGTATTTTTACTCTTGTTTATCTTCTCTAATTAAGTAGATCTATTGCACTGTTCAGATTAATTTCTTGCATCAGGTGGTGTAACACCTCACAACGTTTTTATCAGTCGTAAATTAAAAAATAAGAAGTGAATGATGATAACCATATATAAATTGTCAAGTATTTTTTAACAAAATGTGATTATGAATCAATTTTTACTGATTATATCATTTCAATTATTAAAATTGTTACCGGGCTGTTATTCTGATAATAAACTAATGCAAAAAATTAAAGGGTCAAAAGAATTTCCTAAATTTTTCCGTGATTTTTGACAGACTGTATTTAGGTGAGAAATGGTCGTATCGGGAATTAAAAATAAACATTTTAAAGTTCTAAGGTTCTAGTTTTTAGATCTTTCGGTCGAAATTTTTTAGGAGCTGCGGTTATCATGCAATTCTAAGAAATTTCGGGACAAAAAATAAATTTTTTTTTCTTCATCAATTACACATTTTAAAAAACAGGAAAAAAGGGTAATTTATGTTTTTTTTAGAAAATTGACAGCTAAATTAGAAATATTCACGAAATAACTTATGTTAAGCATGACTTTTACAGTTCAATATACCCAGAAGAACCCTGTGAAGTTTCATCTCGATCTAGCGAACCGTTTCTGTTTCAAACAAAAAATTAAAGTCACGTTTTTCGAGTTTAAACATTTCATAATCATGATTAAAATGGAAAAAAATTTTCTCGCTCTGTAATCACTTAAAAAACAGTTTTTTTCAAAAATTCTAAGGTTATTTGCGGTAAAAATGTGAGAAATCCTCAAAAAAATTTTATTTTCTAATTTAGTCATGATTATGAAGTTGTAAGTTCAAAAAACATGACCCATTAATTTTTTTCAAACGTTTGAAACAAAGAAACGGTTCGCTAGATCGAGATGAAACTTCACAGGGTTCTTCTGGGTATATCGAACTGGAAAAGTCATGCTTAATATTAGTAATTTCGTGAATATTTCTAATTTGGCCGTCAATTTTCTAAAGAATCATAAATTACCCTTTTTTTCCTGTTTTTTTAAAATTCGTGTAAAAGATGAAAAAAATAAAATTTTCCGAAAAGTTGCGGCAGCTTGTTACAGGAAATTTATTCAAATTTTCCCAACTGTCCTTCAATTCTCTGTACGACCATTTGTCGCCGAGATATCGATGAAACAAAATCCTTTTCCATTAAAAGTCCGATATTTCGATGAAAAATGGTCATATCGAAATTAAAAAAAAGGAAATTGAAGCTGAATAAACAAGCTATCTGGTCCACGCAATGTTTTTGCTGAAAAAAAATTTCCAAGTCCGTGGACTCGGAATAAAAAAAGAAAATTTGCAAAATTTTTTTTGCACGCTATTTCTTAAATTTCGACCGAAAGATCTAAAAACTAGAATATTATAGCTTCAATATGCTTTTTTTTAATTCCTGATACGACCATTTTTCACCTAAATACAGTCTGTCAAAAATCACGGAAATATTTCGGAAATTCTTTTGTCCCTTTAATTTTTTGCATTAGTGTATAATAATTATACACATGTGGATTTTGTAAAATGTACTGCGATTTCATTTATATTTTAACACTTACGTATGTATAAAGTTTATTATGAAAAAAAGAAATACGTCATAATTTATTTTAAAATTTAGACCTTTAATGAAACACTGTGTATTGTTATATATTTGGATATTGTGCCTTTCTAAAATTACAGTGACGAGTTTATTTTTAATAATAAGATAGATATTGCCAAAAGAATGTGTATATGATCGTCAATTGTTAGGCAACACATCATACTCTTTTACTCTCTTCACCATATTTCCATATTCATAATTGAATAGCACTGTAGTCTTAAGACAATTTTCTATCTGTTATGAAAACTATACAGAGTGCTGAATTTAAAAAAAAAATCCGAAAAGCAAATAATTTTTTTTTCATTCAATAATTGGAGGGCTCAGAAGCCAATCAGTGTTAAGTCACTTTTTGTGACATATTGAAGGTTTCTTCTTATAGTTGAAATGTATGAAATGTACAGGGTGTTGCGGTTAAATGTGATACAAGCCTGTAGCTTCTTTATTTTTTGAGCCATTTAAAAAAACTTTTTTTAGAATGTAGGATAAAAAAACTGTCTAACTGTAATGCTGCTGTTTTTATTAATGCAATTCACGGCCAACTGGGACGCGTTTTTTTATATTCTCATTCAGCATCCCTTAAAATGTCTTGTCGCCAAGTTTCATCAAATTCAATACATCTTCAGACGAGCACTAGTTGGCTGTGTATTGCATTAGTAAAACACAGCAGTATCGCAGTTAGATAGAGTTTTTTTTACTCTACATTCCAAAATAAAAAATTTTTAAATCGGTCAAAAAATAAAAAAGTTACAGGCTCGTATCACATTTCGCGACATCATGGAGTGCTCTCCTGAAGATGTATCGAATTTGATGAAACTTGGTGGTAAGACGTTTTAAGGGATGCTGAATGAGAATACGTAATCTTTTTTTTAGAAAAAAAATCGCTAATACCAATCAACTGTTTTGATGTCAATAAAACACGTTCTAGTTGGCTGTGAATTGCATTAATAAAAACAACAGTATCACATCACAGTTAGTTTTTTTTACCCAAATAAAAATTTTTGAAATCGGCCAAAAAATAAAGAAGTTACAGGCTTGTATCATATTTAAGCGCGACACCCTGTATATATGAAATATTTGAATGTATGAAATGTTATATCGATAAAAATAATGATTAGTACCTATCTTTACGGGAATCTTTATTTTATTACAAGTTCTACAAATACTTAGCCTGATTGGTTTCTGAGCCCTCCAATTAATACTTGTTAAACTGTTGAAGAAATTGTTTCTTAGCAAATTGATTTTCAATTGATATAAACATTTTTTTTAGATCGATCATGTTGTATTGGGTAAAGGCCCACCCGGCGGATCGTGGCATAAGATGGACCCACACATACTCACGCTATCCCTTGGCAGCTGGATGGCTCTACCCACACTACCGTTTCATTCCAGAGATTCGGGAGAGAAACGGGCCTACGCCTGCAACGTGGCGAAATATTACATGCAGTACACGGAACAGATGGAACTCGTCAAATATTTCAAAAATAGCGTTATTGTGTCTTCGGTGAACTTGATAAATCAAAATCCGATTCTTTGTCAGGGCTTCACGGAAAATAGCCGGCTGACGAACTACGACGACTTGAACAAGATTGACTATGATATTATGCCAAGGGTTGAGATTATTTCACCAGATAGGGAGCAGAACTTCGAGGAGTACAAGACTTGTTTTATTTCAAACGCCATAAATTGTTTAAGGTTAAGGGGTAATAGGAAGAAGTCTCGCTGTAAAAGAACTAGAGAAAAACTATTCGATAACAGCCCCACTAGGAAAATAAGAGAAATAATGAAGTCAGAAAATGATCCATTCCTTAGTTCTAGGTTGTCGAAGCACGAGAAAAATAGATCGGTTAGCTTCTGCTGTGATTCAAGTAATGTTTGTGATAATCAGTATAGTAGGTCCTTCAATGAAAATCGGGTAAACCCCCGTTCTTTAAGCTCTTGTAGTCTAGATTTTACCAACAAAAGGGTGCCTTTTTCTTTAAACTATTCAAGCTGTGATTCCGCTAAATGGGTTGTGAATGTTTTCGACAAAGAGACTGGGGAGAAAATCACGTATAAATGTAAATACTTAGTGTTAGCTAATGGTGGAAATGACTTACCGAACCGACTGGAGATCTCAAGAGAGAAACCAGATCCTGATTGGCTCTTGTACGATTTGAGAAGTTTGGAATCCAGGTTGGATTCTTATATATTCGGCAAAAGAAATGAAGAGGTTTTGCCGGTTCTAGTGGTTGGTGCTGGCTTGAGTGCCGCGGATGCCGTTATTGCTATAAGGGCCCGGAACATACCAGTAATTCATGTTTTCAGGAACAAAACTGCCGATTTAAATAAGCACTTGCCTGAAAACATGTATCCAGAATATCACAAGGTAATTTCTTTTAAAGAAATTGAATTTCCATAAAATTAAAAAAAAATTCAATTCTAAAATGTCAATAAAATTTTACTTTATTTTAAAGGTATTGAACAGGAATTCTGTATCTCACTGTTAACAGGTGAAACAGAATGTTATATTTTAATGTAATCTTCATATTATTTTAATAATGTTTAATTTTACCGAAATTTAATTGCCAACGTGAAGGAAATAAAATTACGTTTCCAAACAAAATTACTGATCACGTGGCTTGAAATCATCCTGGACAGTCGGCTATCTTAGCAGTTTCTATTTGGTAAAACCAAATTTTTATCAAAACAAGAAATTTGTATAATGCGATTAACCGAATTCAGTAGATCCGTCATTTACAAAAGCAATTTGCTTTTCTACGAGCGTTTTATAAACAGCTGATTTAATGTAATCACAAAATAACTACTCAAACTGACTTCATAAAATGAAGGAAAATTGCCAGTGTACATTAGGGTAGCCCAAAAAAAAACGATTTTTTTTTCGTGTCTTGTGAAAATATGGTAGTTTATCATGTTTTAAGAGCCCCCTCAAAAAATCAGCTCAAAAAAAATTTTTTTAAAGGTCGCTCAAGATTTTAAAAATTTCCAAAATCGTCAAAAATTTAATTTAAAAAAAAAAATTTTTTTCTCCTTATTTTACCATTTTCTAGGTTGAAAAAAATCTCGATTCTGGAAATTTCAAATCGATATTTTAATTTCTAAAGGTCACTCATAATTATTTTAACTTTCAAAGTAGTGTACTTATGTTTTCGAGCGACCTCTAAAAATAAATTTCAACAAACTAATAATTTTTTTTATTGAATTTGATGAGCAAAAGAATCAAGTTCAATAAAAAAAATTATTAGTTCGTTGATATTTATTTTTAGAGGTCACTCGAAAACATTTACTACTTTTAAAGTTAAAATAATTATCAGTGACCTTTAGAAATTAAAAATCGATTTGAAATTTTCAGAATCGAGATTTTTTTACCCTAGAAAATAACGAGAAAAAAACTAAAAAAAAATTCAATTTTTGACAATTTTGGAAATCTTTAAATCTTGAGCGACCTCTAAAAAAAATTTTTTTTGAGCTGATTTTTTGAGGGGGCTCTTAAAACGATAAACTAACACATTTTCACAAGAAACACCCTAGTGTACATACACCAGTGGCGGCTCGTGACATTGAGAACAGGTGAAGCGTATTTATTAATTGATTAAAAAGAAAAAAAGCGCTGCAGGAAAAAATTTTCAAATTTTCAAGTTCAAACGGCTTTAAATTGAATCTTAGTTGCATTGCAATATTACCGAAAAATTGACGTTCGCGAGGATTTTTATTTAAACTATGTGGAATGAATGAGATTGGGGGAACTCAATATTGTCACCACGAATCACAAATGACGGATTCAAACTAAAATGTGTTTCGTGAACAGTATTAATTGTTCATAACAGATGTTCTGAATGCTACATAAAATATACGGAGATCTATGTAGTGTTATCTGAAATATCCAGGTTAGAATTTTGAAAAAATTTTTTCTCGAGAACCAAATTTTGTTGCATTAATTTTGGGACACCCTGTATATCTTCATACAGAAGTAGATATTTATTAGATAATTATTATTTAATCGCAATTAACTAATGCACAATTTTAATAAAAATTCAAAGTACCCGGCCTTAAAGTTAATTAATAATAATTAGGAATACGTACGTTATTTTCGCAAAAAAAAAACAATAAATTTCGCAAAAGTGAAAATCCAAAATTTCGCATTTATTCGCTAAAACCAAGAACAAATCTACAACTCAGCAACAGAATAGTAAAATTTTAAAATAAAAGAAATTCTCATTTTATAAAAATATCGGATAGTCTTACTGTTAGTTGAAAGCCAACATTGCTGTCGTTTCTACATTCTTCCAACAGCCTCGTCCTTCTGTCCGTGATGAGAATGTTGTAGGTGTTGAAAAATCACTCCACATCAACACTATTTAAAGTCCATAAACTTTGAATTGCCGCTTTTGCAAAATTTAGATGAATATATTTAGTTGCCCATAAAACGTGAAGAACATCGGGAGTGTCTTTTGTTATCTGCTGGAGTTAAGAGTTGTCAATGAATGTGAATATATCCATCAATAATCTCATCTTGTGGGATATTTTAAAAAAACGGAATAGCTACAGAGGGACAAAATAGTGTACCAAAGTGTTGGTAGGTGTCGTTTGTTTCATTCAATTTCATATGAAGGATTAATTTATTCAAGCTCTCTCAGATTTTGCCGGAAGCGCATCACTTCGCGTTTATTTCCATATTTCGCATTTATTCACATTTTTTTCATAACTTCGTATTTATTCGTACTTATTTCGTAAATACGAAAATTACGTATCTCTAATAATCAATGCATTCTTGGGAACTAAAATGATCAACTTTATAGAGTCGTTAGTGTTGCCGTTTTGTAGAGAAGATAAATTTAAAAATGTCACAGTTTGCTGGTTATTTGCTATTTCTGTTATACCAGAAAATAGATATAATCTAAAGTTCTAATTCTTAAATAATTTAGTTACAGCTGTTAAATGTTAAAATTGTTTGTCTTTGTAGAAAACACTTTTTTATGAGAATGACGTCCTAAATACCTTTAAAATAAAATACCTTTAAAATAAAATGCCTTTGAAATAAAATACAGGAATTAATAATTAAAAGTTTGTAAGATAAAAAGAATGTCGAAGCAATGAGATATTTTTGGAAAAAATTGTTCTCATTTAGTTTTTTTCTTTTACAGGTACATCAAATGATGAAAGATGGGGGATCCACATATCCTCTTTACTCAGCCTACCCAGAACACACTTTAACTGATATCGACGAAAAGACACGTACTATAATTTTAACATCAAAGGATGGCATGAAGACCAAAATAAATGTCTCCTTTGCCGCTGTTCTCATTGGATCGAGACCGGATTTCTCATTTTTACCGAAAGACCTCAACTTAGGTGTTAAAAGAGATCAACCTATAGATTGCAAGACGAACCCCATGGACATAGATAGACTGACATATAGGGTGAATGGATGCGAGAACTTGTTTGCTGTGGGGCCTTTAGCTGGGGATCATTTCGTTAGGTTTATACCTGGTGGTGCTTTGGCTGTTGTTTCAGAATTGTATAGACAACCTAAAGATAAGTAAATGCACTTAGGATCTTATCATGTTTATTGTTAAATTGGTTTTACTTGTTGAACACTTTAAATTTTAACTTTTTTAACACAGACCGTGTTAACATTTGAAAGTTATATATTTTATTATGAGAACAAAGTAGTTTTTATATTATTTTATTTATTTTAATAAATGATTTGTTTTTAAAATTAGTGGTTTTTTATTTGTTACCGCAGGATACCTAACATACAAACCCAGAAAAATCTAAAGAATATTTACTTGGTGAAATTGCAGATTAATAACATATAATTTGCATATAAACCACAGTGGCAAAGCAACTGCAAGATCTATTAAATGTTAATTAAATTTATAATGATGCAACAGATTGAGCCTGCATACAAAAATGAAACGTATTTTAGATTTTACTTTTATAACAATAAAATTATATAGAATGAAAGCGACCACTGTCTGAAAAGCAAGTTTTTCTTTACCAAATTGAACAGATTTAAAGTCCGCCCTGTAGTGAAGTTTGCAGACTAAGTGTGCATGTAATTTTGGACAAAACGATTTATGTACATCTGTTAGATTAGGCCAAATTAACCTCTTAAACGAATATGACGAATAAGTTCGCGATTTAAAAAAAACTTCGACACCGCTTATGACGGATATATTCGTTCATAAATTTTGATGAGCCTTAGCACAAATAATTTGTATATATTCACCTATGGTGGTTCATATAATTCCCCACCATTTCTTTACAATACATACAGTGTAGGAAAGCGCCGATGGTCTATCACAAGTTACGTGAGAACGATAAAGTAAGACATAGAAATCCATGCGATAGAGAAGGATGGCTATAATGAAGGTGTATCATAGTCAACGCCCATTTCGCCCTTCCACAAATAAGAAGTGGATCTTATTTGGCGAAACGGGCGGTGACAAAGAGAAGCCTTCATTATAGCCATCCTTCTCTATCGCATGGATTTCTATGTCTTACTTTATCGCTCTCACGTAACTTGTGATAGACCATCGGCGCTTTCCTACACTGTATAAAGCCAAGTTAAAAATTAGCCCCGCTTCAGTTTTTGAGAAGTGTTTCATGGTATCGCATCACAATGTCTAAGAGAAAACAAATTTCCGACGATTGTGATTCAAATGAAAGTGATATTTTACTCTCAGATGATGATATATCATTAGGTAGTTTGTTCGAAAGTAATTTTGCAATGAGCAGCGGTGAAGAGACTAACTCTGAATATGAAAATGAGAGAGATGACACTGCGCCGTTTGATGTACCGTGGACTGATAATGGCATTCGACGACCATATTTTCCATTCAGCGCCAATTCTAGTATTCAGGCGCCTGTTGCTGATCCTGATAATATTTTACAATTCTTCGAGTTATTTTTTGATGATCCTCTAATTAAACTAATTGTAGCGGAAACCAAGAGGTACCTAAGAAATACCTAGTGATTTCATAAGAAAAATAAATAGTACACCACCACTGTAATATTCATGTATTATCACATATTATCTAAGTATTACAAATACATGAATTGTAGGCAACCTACAGTGCATGTGAAGGAAGATGATGAAGGGAAGGGCGTCAGTTGTTCCGCATTTGGAGCACATATCACACATACCTTGTATGTGATATGTGATTTGGAGACAGTACATCTCTGTGAATTTGAATGTTTTTCATCGCTGAAAGCCATCAAGAGACTATTTATTTTTGCGTATTTCATTTATCATTATTGATTAGCTTTTTGCTGGTAGGTTACTTGTTAGGTATAATAAGTACTGTTTATGTGGTGGACACTCGCTCAACAAAAGTAACTCGCGGCGAATGATGTGGAATTGTGCATACCCTGCGACTAAAACGCGCCATTATTTGAGCATCTGTATAAATATGACCCCCACTCAAAGTTACACCCTGTATGTCTTTTCATTTTTAGAATGCCGATTATGTAAAACACAGTATAAACTAAGTATACAGGTTTTACTTTTACTCATTTAGAAAAATGGAATCAAATCACCGGATATAAAATTAATATTATATTTATCCAGTAAAGGATTACAAATGCTTTTATAGTAGCTTCCTGAATTTTATTTGCACAGAATGCATCCAACAATGCGGAAGTGTAAAGAACTAAAGTCTTTGGCATGCTTGGCTGAACGCGTGTCGATCACATCCGTTGCTGTAGGTCATCAAGCGGCTCAATAATTCCTTGTAATAAATTAAAATTAGATAATCCATTATTATCATGTAATGCACTCTAATTGGATTGATTAAACAGGGAGTGTCCAATTTGGTAATGGAATTACCATTATTTTTTCATTGAAGGATGAAATTATCGTTGAGTGGGAAATAGTATTTCCTCGATCGATGGTATTATGTAGTGCAATATGGGCAAAACTACTCCTTCCATTTCTTTGCAAATGTGCTCTATGTAAAATTGATTTTGTAATATAGATTTTAACTAGTTACCTATAATAGTTAAATGCATTATAAATGTATGAATACAATTCCTGGTATTCATTGTCAAGTTTATGTGCCAGTCACATATTTATCCACAGAGCATCTATTTATCAGTCTTATTTTTAGAATACATTTGTTGGAACTATTAGTTATGGTTATTTAATTAATCACTAAAATATTAAATGGAATTTGGAGTTTTATACAATTTCTCGCAAATTGTTGAAATGATTATCTTCAAACAGGCACTGATCATGTTTCTATAAACTGACTATTCAAACATTCATTTATATTTAAAATTCATCAAATATACTTTCACAAGTCATTATTCAATATGGTTACATACCAGAATGTCAAAATTAAAACTTATCAAAATTTAATTCACTTACCTTCCTTTTCTTTACACCATTTTCAAATTTCTATATTTCTGCATTGTACATTATTTTTGTATTAGTTTTTTAATTCGAGGACTACTGGATGATGGGGTTAATAAAATGCTTTATGTAAGTAAGTGATGGCAGCAGTTTTAATGCCTATTTCTTAAACAAAATATGCAAAAACATGTTATGAACATTTTTGAAACGAACACTGGAAATAAAAGCAACAAAAAAGTCAGTCTTGAATAAGTTAAGTAATGTATTCGAATTTACAAACGGGAATGTAAAGACTGTACAAAAAACATGCGTAAATACAAAAGAATTTATGAGAAGCGGATTTCAGATCAGCGATGTTAAAAAGAACTTAGTTCTCATCGACTTCGGCTTCTTGGTCTTCATCGAATTCGGCATCCTCATCGGCGGTAGCCTCCTGGTATTGCTGGTATTCAGATACCAAGTCGTTCATGTTGGATTCAGCCTCAGTGAATTCCATTTCGTCCATACCTTCGCCCGTGTACCAATGCAAGAAAGCCTTACGCCTGAACATAGCTGTGAACTGTTCAGAGATACGCTTGAACAATTCTTGGATGGCAGTGGAGTTACCGATGAAAGTGGCAGACATCTTGAGACCCCTTGGTGGAATGTCGCAAACGGCTGTCTTTACGTTATTGGGGATCCATTCGACAAAGTAACTGCTGTTCTTGTTCTGGATGTTGAGCATTTGTTCGTCTACTTCCTTCATCGACATCCTGCCTCTGAATACAGCAGCCACAGTGAGGTAACGTCCGTGTCTTGGGTCGCAGGCAGCCATCATGTTCTTGGCATCGAACATCTGTTGGGTGAGTTCAGGAACAGTGAGGGCTCTGTATTGTTGGCTACCGCGGGATGTCAGAGGGGCGAATCCAGGCATGAAGAAGTGAAGACGAGGGAATGGAACCATGTTGACAGCCAGTTTACGAAGATCAGCGTTCAGTTGACCGGGGAATCTAAGGCAGGTGGTGACTCCAGACATGGTAAGGGATACTAAATGGTTCAAGTCTCCGTATGTGGGTGTGGTGAGTTTTAATGTCCTAAAGCAGATGTCGTAGAGAGCTTCATTATCAATACAGTAAGTTTCGTCTGTGTTTTCTACAAGTTGGTGAACAGACAGGGTGGCGTTGTAGGGTTCTACAACTGTGTCTGATACTTTGGGGGAAGGTACGACTGAGTATGTGTTCATGATCCTGTCTGGGTATTCCTCACGGATCTTTGAGATGAGTAGTGTGCCCATTCCGGAACCGGTACCACCACCAAGGGAGTGTGTAAGTTGGAATCCTTGTAAACAGTCACAGGATTCTGCTTCTTTCCTGACTACATCTAAAACTGAGTCTACTAATTCGGCTCCCTCCGTGTAATGGCCCTTGGCCCAATTGTTTCCAGCACCAGACTGACCGAATACAAAGTTGTCTGGCCTGAAGATTTGTCCGAATGGGCCGGATCGGACAGAGTCCATGGTACCTGGTTCCAAGTCTACTAGGATGGCACGGGGAACATATTTGCCTCCAGAGGCTTCATTGTAGTAGACATTTATTCTTTCAAGTTGGAGGTCTGAGTCTCCGTGGTAGGCTCCAGTGGGGTCGATACCATGTTCATCGGAAATAATTTCCCAGAACTGAAACAAGAGATTAAATTGTTAGACCAAAAAATATATATACCTACTATACAGGTATTAATATCATGAAGCTATCTGTATAACTTAATTATTTAAGATTATTTAATTTATTTATCACCTTATCTTGTCGTAAGCATTATGTTTTAAATGTGAATAATGCAATTTAATCGTTTATTTTTATTAAGCCAAGTAATTATAAAATTAGCATTAAGGTATTTTTTATTAAATTTGCTTGCAATGATTTAGGAAAAAATATATATTTATTTTAAACTATTAAATTTCATAATATGAAGCAACTCAATTGCAGTTCTTAATCTATTTTTAGGAATGTTATCCGATTCATAAAGTATAAATATTCTTGGCACATTATAAAACTAGCATGTTTTTCCCTGCCTTTCGTCACTAAACTTGCTCTTAAAGTAGAACATATTTTTTATAAGAAGTAAATTTTCAAAGAATTTAAATATTTCGGCACTAAATTAATAAATATTTATAAAAAAAATATAGGTACATGCTAATGAAATAAATTTATATTTCATATGGTCAAAATTCGAACATGTTTTCAATTCATATTCTTAAATTAGTTTTCCTGGAAATGCCGGGTAAATTTATTTACGAGATAACTAGGGGGAACTAACCCCGCCTAGATATAATACAAAGGTATGTGCGCCCTCCGCGTAATTCGATGCCAGCGTACTTTAACAAGAAAATCGATAACGCCGTGCGCCATGTGTCTGTTAAATTCTAATGTAAGATGTAAGAATTTTTTTCTATTGCATTATATAAAACATTACTTATTTTTACTGATAACCAAAATAAAAATAAAGTACATTTCAAGAACTTTGGATAAGCCTACTTGATTACTTATTAAAAATAACAGGTGAAATTATGTGCACCCAGATAAGTTCATTTCTGCAACAGACAGGTAGTGACGTAACAAGGCCAAAAGTCAGCAATTACATGTCTAATATGTTAATGAAAATTATGACTCAGGTCACTACTAAATTTAGACATAACTGCAAAGCATTACATAATCGTTTAATAACAAGGTTCCACATTTGGTAAACCATTTATGAAATATATAAAATTTAAAAACCACTTTTAACAATTTATGCCAAGTAATAACTAGTAGGCAAACTCGATTCTTCGGCGTAAAAATAATCTCGAAACCTACTTTTTTTCCTTTCTAAATTAAGCTAGTATCTGGTCTGGTATGTCTGTAATGTAGTTGTTATTTAACATATGGTAAGTACGCAAAACGTAAAATATAACATGGTATTTCTAAGTGCCTATTTTAATACATCAGGCATCAGAGGGTCGATGAACCGGCATCTGAGTATGAAGGCCAACAGAACCGCTCAAGTGAAGACTGCCAAGAGAGTTAAAAGAAGCGCAAGGAGAATAATAATAATAATTACATTCACTCGGTTAACACTGCGGCAAAGTCTCAAGATCTATAGATCCATATTATGTAGGTACGACTATCTGAAAGTAGGCAATAAAATACGCCAAAAAATACGTCAAATTTAAGGACGAGAAGTTATTTATCATGATAATCTTATGATAAAGAAATAATTTTGTGCAATAACTATAAATAAATATTATCGTACATGTCGAAAACAACGTATCTATTAATGACAAATATTTATTTTTATGTCGTTTTGGCTTTTATGACTAATTTTATATGGAATCGAAATTTCCAAGATTTTCATGCGCCGACTGTACTGTACTAAGAGTACGCCGTGTCGAGGATGTGTAACCGCCTTTTTTAACCGTCGTTATACTATTACATATGAAAACATCTGCTGATTACAATTTAAATACAAATCTTTATATCTAGGTACATTTCTTATTATGACGTAAATAAGATTTTAGATACACCTGCGTTACCTTAGTACCTATTTTCTTGTTCTAGTTTTTATAAATAAGTTGAAAATCTTTTTTATGTGCATGTTTTGCAGTATCTACTAATTGAATACTCTTTTTTATAATGACAATCGAACTATTTTTTAAAAACTAAATCTAAATACAAATGTATACAATTTAATTAATCAATTCAACAAATTCTATTTAAAAAGTACGAATTTAAAACTAGTGTACCTAACTGGGAAAGTGCACTTTTCGATAAAAAAAAAAACTAGTCGGAATAATCATATTAAAAAAGTAAAGATCAACTAATAAAAACCGCTCCTATTAGTTACATATTCTAATATACCGGAAAACCGTTATTACAGTTAGCAAATAACAACTAGTCTACGTTTTCAGGACGATCAATATTTACCGGCCGGTATTGAACGCGCAATATGGCTGCTCACTGCTCAATTTATAAAGTTCCACATATTTTTAAAGTATATAAAATAAAATTCACAATTACACTTAAAACAGTTATATAACAATGTAATCCTAAAGCGAACTTCATAATTTCTAAGCAAAAACCATTTATGCGTTTTCAAAATGGCCAGTTCATAGCAAAATCAAGTTAACACTTTAAAGAAAAACAAGCAAAAAGAAACAAAATAAACAAAACTTACTTTGGCTCCAATCTGGTTACCGCATTGTCCGGCTTGAATGTGTACGATTTCCCTCATTTTGATTTATAAAAATTATTAAATAACTAGTACTAGAAAACACAAACGCTCTTGTCGATGCGTAATCTGAAATGCAATGGCGGCGGACCGTTTTCTATTATATAGATGCCCCCACCCCCGGGTGGCAGCACTATAGCTTATTAGTTGCCACATTTGGCTTACGTTTTCGCTCCTAGATTTAAATGTAGGGCGTTGTTGTTGTTTTACATTCTGTAATGAATAATGTTTTTTTTTAAACGGAATAAATCCTTCAATGACAACCAAATACTACTACTCAATGGGCGTTGATTTTTCTATGTGGGAATGGGTATCATTCATAACTGTAATGGACAATGTATGAGAATAGATAGGACTGCATTAAAAATAATGATGATGATTAGGTATTTCATGCCTAATGTTAATCTATGGATTTCACAGGAAGAAATTAATTGTTTATATTATTTTCTACTTAGGTATCTATATTTAAGAAGTAATCATTAAAGAAATTATTACCTAAGTAAGTAATCATCCGGAAGTACTTATCTAGGTACGTACCTACTAAAATTAGATAAACAACCCTAAAAGGTGTGTGTTATGGTCCCTGCCGTGATGCATACCTTTATTTGAATTACCTATTAGCTTGTTATTTAATAGGTATGCTTTATAGATACCTAGCTCTTATTATCCAAATAACTATAGGTACATCTGTTTCACAAAGGGGGCTGGGAATTTACAAGATTTGTCCTATTATGGATTGGACTTTCATATTGAACATTAAGTTACCTCTATACATTTTTATTTTATCTTATGCAATCTGCCATATGTAAATTTATTTATTAAATAAAACCATATGTTTCTTCATTCCTGTGCCATAGGTATTTTAGGTACAGTTCGCAAATTTTTACATGTAATTATCGGAGGAAAAATGTGAAATCTTCGAAAATAATTAGTTATATATCCAGTGAGGTCTAGTTTTTTAAATACACTGCTATACTGATGGTAGATAATTTTTACACTTCACAATTTTAGGGACTTACCTACCGAAGTATGTCTTGGATACTTTGTAGGTCAATTTCTATTCTCATTAATGATGTTAATCTTAATAATTGCAATAATATTTTTGAAATAATTATTATTTCCAAAACTCAGTAATAATATTAAGGTACTCATTATGCTTTGAATAAGTGGGTACGGTATACGGATAATTAATAAATTTATTTATTTTATAACTGCAATTAATATGCCTGATAGGTTTTGTAGATAGTAGTATAAAAATAGACTGTTTGATGTCATTACGCAGGAAGTATTAAAAAATTATCCACTTGATTTTCCTATTATCATATTTATCTCCGTGTTTCGCATCACTTGCTAATTCAATGCAGCAACCATCTAGTGGAAGAGATTTGATTTAACTGGGTCAATGGGACAGAGATTTGCTGTATTCACGGTTTAAACGAAGATTAAATATGAAAAATGTGAAGGTAGGTACACGTTATACGTTTATAAATAAATAAACGTCGAATTATTATTTTTTGTCTTATCCCTCAAAAACTAGAGATGAGTCAACTGAAAGGGCTTAAATGAAAAGCTGTCATTCATATGCCCATCTGTCTCTCAGAAACTCTGTTTAGCTTATAAGACTTGGCGTGCCATGTTTTCCAAGGGTTCATTTTTTTCATTTAAATAAGAATGTCTGGGGAGACCGCGATTATTTTGATGAATGGTGAAAGATGTGTTTCAAATTACTGTGGACTTGGACCTTTGTTGGGTACATATTCTAGAAGATCGAGTACGAAATAATAGAATAAACATCATAATGTGATATCTCTAACAAACAAATTTAAAATGTCAAAAATAATTAAAAACGAATAGTCATTATCAGATGACAACAGATATATTTTTCGAAAGTGCACGATATACCTACAGGGTGTTTTCAAAAGAAGTAGCACAAATGGTACCGGCGATTCTACAGCTAAAAAGAACACATTTTGCATAAAAATGACCTCAGTAACATGTTCACCTCTTAGTATATACGTCCTCTTAGTTTCTAAAAAAATATGGAATAGTGACTGAAATTTAAAAACCAAAAAAAGGTATAATAGTCAAATACACAAATTTTCTGCTGATGAATGTGTAACTTCTCAACAATTTTTCGAAAATTTCTGCCCCTTGGAGGGGCTTGAAATAAGCATACCTAAGTTATTTTCTGCTACAACTTTTTTGTTTGACAAAAATTGATTATTCAAATATACGTATCAGATAGCCTGATTTATTTTAAAACTTTTACCTCTTGCACTTTTTTTCTTCAAAAGTAACTATTTATTAACAAAAAAATTAAATGCATACAACTCGCACGATTGCAACTATGAAATATGTATTTAAGTAAGCGGCTGTCATGCTAATTTATGTCATTATTTTGAAAACACCTTGTATTGTGAAATTTTTAAGCAAAACTATTTTCATAAAAATAACCCTTGACTGGTCCTTTTGAAGCGAGGATTTCATTAATTTTTAAACTATTTTCACAGGTAAAATAGTCAATAAATAAAGAAAAATAAAACAAATAAGTAACTTCAGACAATATCTAAAACAATGTGTTGAATCCAAAGAAATTGTATTACGAGAACAAGACTAAGTACATTAAATATTTTTGCTCTAATTATTATTAAATACCGTATAATCTGTAATGAACTCTAATAATTTTTTTAACTTGTGTTAATTTAAAAAGTGAAAGGTAGATACAGTTACTGCATGTCTATATCTTTTAATATTATTTAAAATAAATTTAAATAAACCATGTCCAAATGATATCATACTTGGCTGAGATGACATACAGGGTGGGCCATTAGTGTGTGAAAGTAAGATAACTTCCTTGTTATTCATAATACAGAAAAAAAGTTTATGTAAAACTTGTACAGAATCAAAAAACCTAAACTACAAAATTAATTTGAAACATACAGGGTGATGAGTAAAAATGGGACACGCCAAATATTACATTTTTTAAATAGAACACCCTGTATATTTTTGAACAAGTGGATCTCCAAGAAAATTCTATATATGGCAATATAAACAGTTTATCATTTTAATTCGGGGTTGCCAAGTTATTTAGAAATTCTTCGAATTTTCGAAAAAACATGACCTCGAAGAAGTTGTATTAATTTTCAACTACTAACACTTGGAGCAAAAATATTTGACAGAGTTAAAGGCAAATGTTAGGCAAAGACTCCTATATTAGCTAATATCGATATTTTATACTGGGCATTTTTTATAAAACGATCATTTTAAAAAAGTTCAAACTCGAATTCCTAAAATTTTTCAAATGGAACACCCTGTATTTTATTGTTCTATTCTATTCACATATCAGTCCACTTCAATTTTATTAATTTATTATTAATTCGAAGAATTTTCTACATAGCAACCCCGCACTAAAATGATAAACTGTTTATATTGCCATATATAGAATTTTGTCGGAAACCCATATGTTTAAAAATAAACAGGGTGTTCCATTTATCATCAGTCTGTATGTTTCAAAATAATTTTATAGTTTAGGTTTCTTGATTCTGTATAACTTTTATATAGGTAAACTTTTTTTCTGTATTGTGAGTAAAAGGGAGTTATTTTACTTTCTCACACTAATGGCCCACCCTGTATATCATATTATTTTTACATCGCATAAATTGAAAAGTATAGAATCTGTTTGGTCAAAATTTTGACGGAATAGCTACAGCTATTTAGTGCGTTATAAAACTTTGAATCATATGCCTTCATGTAAAAAAAATTTTTGATATACAGGATGTTTCTCATAAGAGCCGACACAGAGCAGATGCAACTCAAAATATGGTGATTTAACGCAACTTACCTTTATGCTAATTTGCACTCCTGAGAAGTTAAAGCTCTTGAAAGTGGGGTTACAAATTTCGAAAAAATCAAAATTTCAGTTATACTTCAAACCAAATTTGGTACACGGTGTGAGTGTACCAAGAGCATTAATCGCCAGTAAACGGAGTTCAATTGAAGCATTTTAAAGGGTTGATAAGGGGTGATGTACCATTAAAATGTTTAAGAATTTTTTAACTCGTTAACGGACCTAAAAAATTATACGGTACTTTATTTTATGGGTTATTTAATTCTAAAACTTTTCTTACTCTTGTTAGTTTTCAAAAACTTTGTCGTTTTCAACAAAAACACAAATAACTAATGATACGTATTGTAGTTGTTATTTAAAATCATCGAAAATTCAAAAGTCAAAAAATTAATTTTAGTAATTGTTTGCGGATTGTTTTGAAAATGGCCGGGTAGTTTTCATTTAGCTAACAAGTTGACATGCTATTAGTGTTGGGTTTCTGTTACAAAAATTTTATTTTAAAGTATCAGTTCTAGTCCCAATAAAGATCTATCGATCTCTGGAGCCTAGAATTTAATTACTTTTAAAAAATATTCAATGTTTTTTCAGACATCTTCACAAGAACCCCTTTATTTAAAAAAGCGGTATTCCATTTTAGCTGAGTTTCCCTTATGTACATTTATTCACTTTTTTATCATTATATAAGTAATTGTTTTAGTATGGGATTTATTTTATAGTTCTATAGACAAACATATAGAAATATCAAAATTATAGTACACGTATTTTACGTGTACATATTGCAATAACTTTTATTTTGTTTAAAGATGATAAAATGTATCAATATAAAACCATACATGTTTTTGTTTTAGCCACCAAAGTACAGAAAACAGACTTGATTGTTTAATGATTATTAACTTTTATACCGCCATAGTAATTTCCAACTTATACCGTGAATATCGAAAATGTGGTGTTAATTCTAGAGATTTCTCTCGAAAATTTACCTTGAGATCACTATTACTTTTAATGGCCTGATTTTTTGGCCGCCTATTTATTCTAGATATGAGTCAGTGACAACGACAACCAATAAACAAATAAGTAGGTGGCGGTGTTAATAAATATCGGGAGTCTCGCAAGTACGTGCGAAAACTCAAACAGATATATCTGCTAAGGAACGCGTTTGTGTTAAAAAAATTACTTCACTTTATCGGGTTGATAAGATATCTGTCATATAATTTCTATTTTAATTTATTTTGTCAGAAA